TCAAATATTTTGAATGATTTATTAAGAATTATATTTGAACTTTCATTTTACATTAAATGTTTATTCATCCGGAAATGTTTGCAGTCGTAAACAAAATAAACTGAATTAACGAAATAAACAATTTTATTTACTTAGAGCGTTACTCGACTGTAAATAATTCATATTACTCCTTGCAAGAATTTGAATGCAAGAGTAGTCTGATTTGATTGTTTTAAATCTTAACTTCAATCTGTGATTTTTTTCCAAATGGATGTAAGTTCCCATTTCCTTGCAATTTATTTATTGATTATTTATATTTATCATTTGCGAAGTTTTACAAAGAGAAAACATTATAGTTAAGTGTCTTTTAAATAACATGAATTATTGGAAATTTAAAATATTTTAATTATATTTCTACTCTATAAAAAATTCCAATCAAATAACGGTCCATCCTGAAAGCAGTATTCATAAAACCCATTTTACCTTAAAATTCAGTTTTAGAGTAAAATTTTTTTATCTTAATTTTTGCAGTAATATTGATTTATTTGTAGTGATTCAGCAATTTTACAGTAATTAAAACTATGAAAGTGCAGTATATCAGACTTTAAATAAAAGTTTACGATAAAAAATATCGGTAGTCAAGGTACTAAGAAGTTTTAACGATGATCCGGAATTTTTTTATAACGTAAGCAAGTCATTAGAAACTAGTTCAAACGGAAAATTTTATAAGATATTTAATTTCATTTTATATCCGTCGTTGTGAACAGGAACAAAGTTTAGAACCCTTACGTTAATTTTACTTTCTGAGTCCAACTTCAGCGTCTCCGGAAAAAATGCTTCTTGCAGTGGATTCCCGCCCATGTGAACCTAGAGTTCAATGAAATAGCTGATTCTTTGGCTAAAAATGCCAGAGATCTCAATCAAAATACAATCCCAACCACGTTGGCAGATGCAAATGCTTCTGCAAAGTCAAGACTATTCACCCCTTTAAAAATCAAAGCCCTCGATCAAATAACTAATCTTGACATCGATAGGAAGACAGCCACTACTCTCATCAGACTAAGAACAAAACATCATAAAAACATGAAAATTTCTACAGATGGGACTAGAAAATATCAAAACTGTGGCAACTGTCTTAATGTGGAACTGACACCATATCATGCTTTTAACTGCCCTGCAGTCGCTGCAGGCCTTCACCTCTTAAACTACCCCACAGAAGAGGATTTGTATTCTTTTAATGCCATAGAAATAACAAAAACTATTCAAGCACACCATGAAATATGATTCAATAGAGGATACGACACCAACCAACCAACTTTCTGAGTCTCAAGAAAATTTTTAGCAAATTGAAAAATTTTTTGCCGACAATATTTATTATTTTTTATTATTTTATTTAATAATGGTTGAAAAAAGTTTGAATTTTAAGGTATACAATTTTTTACATCAGTTCAAAGAATTTAATTTTGCATGGCAAAATACAAAATGTGAGCTAAATTGGACTGAAAAATCGAATTTTAAGTATTTGCCTTTTTTTTAAATTCAGTTACTCAGGAACTATTCGGGCGATTTCGTTTTTCTTGCTTGCCCTTACAATTTGTCCAAAGAAGGTCATCTTCAAACGTTTAAGTCATTTAGCAAGAACATTTGGCTCTTTCATTAGGAAACCATTCTTAATTTTGTACAGTGCGTCTAAAAGCTGACGAAGTGTGGGTTAAATAAATGGCCAAACATTTTTTTCAACCTTAATATTTATAAATATCATTCCGTTTGTCTGGTTAAATACTTTCTAACTGTCAAAAACTATTTTGTTTCTGAAGGAACAACAATACCATAAAATGGCTATTTTGGAGTTATACTTGTGACCTTTCAAAAATATGCTTGTATATATTTTTTTAGAGGATATGTCATTCATTTTCTTATATTAAATCTCTTGTATGAAGTTTTGAGTAAAAATGAAGCAAAAAAATTATAAAAATAAAATAACTGTTTATTTTTCATCAATATTTGTAACAAACAGAACGAAAGACTCCAAAATAATGATATTTTTTTATTTCTGTTCAAAGAGCTATCAAAATAATGATTCTCGAAAATATGATTGTGATGCTGGGATTTTATATCACCCACGTAAAAAAGCAACGTAAAAATAATTTACTCTCAGATATTTATTTCTTGATTCGTCATTTGTTTTCCTGTCTCTGCCGTTGGCTATTGCCACTATTGGCAATATAATGTATCTCTGTTACTGTCAATGACTGAAATTGGTGGTTGTTGACTTTGACCGGTGAATGTTGACAATCACATAGTTGCTTTGATAAATGTCCGAAATGTATACTAGGTCTAGTTAAGTGCCACTGTTCGGTATACATTTGCCCGGAATACCCTACACTGATGTTTTTTTAAGGTTCAGTGCCCCTGTTCGGTTTATATGTACCCGGTACTCCGAACACTGATGTTTTTCCTAATCTCTCCTCAACAGATATTAAAATATCGAATAAATATAATAATATCATCGAATAAATTAATATCAAATCGGATATAACAAATATTTCGGACATTCATAAAAGCGACTATGTAATTGCTGACATTCATCGGTGAAAGTCGAAATTCTTTTGATTTTGGTCATTCAGGGTCACATCTCTACCAAATGACTTAATACTTCTTGAGTACTGAATGTTCATTCATTTCCTCAATGTTCAAACATTTTCCTGTGTAATATGTATTTATAGCTCAAACAAAGTTAAAATCAAACTAGCTCAGCCATCTCAAGCTTAACCCAGGTACAGTACCTTACTGTATCTGAAAGCAATCAGTTGTGGTACCTCAGGGCAGTTTAATTTGAACTAACTTTCTGCCATGAAAGAAACAATTTTCTTTTGAGGATCTTAACTTAGAAAATGCAAAATGCATGTGCATTAGTCAAACAGTAAATTTCTCAGTTTAAATTTAATGCATGTTTATAAAAACATCAAGCACGTCGTAAAACAATCTCGCCCAATTTACGGTTTTTAAACGGAACCGTAAATTGTGTAAAACCGTAAAATTTACAAAATCCGTAGCCTCAACGTTTTTTTATCATAAAAAAACAAGTTTTTTCCGTAAAAATTACGAAGAAAATTCGCAATCACTGGTTATTTACCATCACAAAACACATTTTATAACAAAAATTACAAATAAAAATAACTTTGTTGACTCAGAAGACTTTTACCATATGGTAAAAGTAGACTTTTACCATTTGGTGACAAAAAAATCTCAACACACACCAGATGCAAATACGTCGGAAGAATTTGTATCAATCAGTTATCGCTGGGATATGAACCTGGGTCACTTTATTAGGATTCGCATTCTCTGTCTGAGTCACTGTGGTTCAATGTTTTAAATATGAGCATGCTCAAGTATTTAAAGCAGTTTTTTTATGTCGAAATAGTACCAGTGATAATTTCGCTTCAATGTTGTATCAATTTGACTTCAATGTTATATCAATTTGACAGCCACTTTGACGAATTGCAGTCTTATTTACACGATATCCAAAACTATAAAGTAATTGATGAAAAGTAAGAGAAAGTATATAAAATAATTGTAAAATTATTAGAGAAAAGGTAAAATTATATTATAGAACGCAAAACTGCACTGTAAAAATTAGAATTTCAACTGACAAATTCAATCCGTTGTAGATTGGGATGAAAATTGCAGAAAAACCGTTTCTTTAACAAAACGGTTTTAAGCCGTTAAATATACGGAGAAATTCCATAAAAACAATGGTTTTCATATAGAAGAGTCGGCTCAGTTGATGACTCGCTACAGTCAATATTACGTTTAGTCATTTAATTTAATTAGCATGAACTTTACTGTAAGTCGATAAGCAAAACTTAGTAGAAAATTGTTTGAATCTTTTTTCAAGAATTCTCAACTTTAAATGAAATAGATGTGCTGCTTTAAAAAGAAATTTGAAACTCTTTCTGCCACATAACTTTCTTGTATAATCAAAGCAAAGACGAAGGAAACATAAAGCAATTTTGCATTTCTAGAGTTAAATTACATTACTTGCTAGGAACAGAATAGTTTTTTGTCTTCTTGTTTTCCATAAAAACAATGCTCAGTTAAAAACTCTTTTTACCTCAACGAAAAGAATACTCGGAGAAAAAATAAGAGTAATTTTGAAACACATATTTTCGTCTACTATTTTTTTTTTTAAATTTTTCTTTCAGAAATTTATCAAAAGTTTTAGTTTTTTCGTGTATTTTAACAGAAAGTGATTGCATTTAAAAAATGTCTCTAGGAAAATCAGATACAGAATGAAAGAAATAATATAGCAAAGCTTTATTGTGTTGCTGTATAAAGCAGGGAGATAAAATCAAAACAAGAAAAATAATAATAGAAAACTATAGATATAAAAAAAAGGTAGATTTCAGCATTCAAGTACACTTATAAATGAAGTAAGTACTACATGAACTACCATAACTTAATTACATTTTAGTTTAAAATAATTGTACTTACAAAATAACGCTATAAATACATGAACTAATATAAAGAGTAATACAGCTAAGTTTTTTCCACTAAGACAATATGATCGATAAATGAAACCTTTAGTACATTAAATCAGTGCTCCCTAACCTTTATATAGCCGCGAACCGGTCACGTTTGATAACTTTAATATGGCCCGCTGTTTATTTATATTTTAGATGGTTTTGATTTAATAATTTTAATTTAACTGTATTTTAATATTCCTTCAAAACAAAATACAGTTACATGGTCGGTATGAATGCGGCTTTAGGTGACGGATCTTAGTTTTAAGCTTATCTCAGATTAAATTTTATCTCGGTTAACAGTTAACCTCTAGTCCAAAGAAATTAATTTGATAAATACTATCTGTGTAAGTTTTTGTGCTAAAGACAAACAAATTGAGTATCGGATAAAAGAAATGGATTTATGTCCTATGAAATATTTTATTGAAATAATTATTTGTACACTTGTTCAGGCATAGTAAAAATATATAGAATTAATTTTAATGTTTATTTTTATAGGTCCAAGTCTTGGAAGAATTTTGCATATCAGCTAAAAGACACTGCCCGAAAGGGGAACAAGGACCCAGGGGCACACCAGGTAGGCCATTTTCCTTTGATAGCAGAGCCAACCTTTTAAATCTTAATCCGAAATTCAAATCATACTCCATTGATTTCTTGAAAAAAAAACCTCGACTAAATAAGACTACTCTAAATTGTTAGCAACTTTAATCCTTTAATGAATCTTTCAACATTTGAATCCTTTAAGGAATCCTTTGAATCTATATTATATATATTTAATTATTTTTCTTCTTTATAATATTTTAATCTCTGAAAAAATCAACAACATTTAAAAATATGACTTATTAAAAAAGAAAATAATTTACCAATCACCCTTATCTGATAAGTAGGGCCCGGATAGCCTAGTTAATAGGTCATTGAGCTCGTGTTTATGATACGTGAGTTCGAATCCCACCGGATGAAGAAGCCCCGTAAATTAAATGGTCACTGCTGCACAGTAAACCTGACGGGGTCACAAAATCCTCCAGCTCTCATAACAAATCAATACCTCTCTGGGTACTGAATTAAAGATTGATAGTTCTCTGGTTCAGGTAAAAATCACGATTACAATTACGGTGAATAAATGAAATATAATTGGTCCTTCCCTGTAAAACGGAGTGTGACGTATGTGTGTAACTGAAGTCGTATTCTGGGCTGAACACCTCACCACCGAAAAAGAAAAAACGCACCCTCGGCCTTAAAAGTCCGTTTGTTTTCTTGGCAGGCCTGCTGATATTGGCAAGTAGCATAATTAACAACAACATCTCATAAGTGAGTTCATTTATAACCGATATCAAATTAAATCATTTTCAAAATTAATCAATCATTTCCAAAAAGTAGTTATTTGGGAGAATATTTATCAATACTTTCTTCTAGTATGTTTTTATGTAGTTATTTACCATTTAAATTAAATGAAGTTTCTCTTTCGCAGTTAAGTAAATGAATTAGTGGTTTAATTTATAACTTTCAAACCTTTTTTACATATTTGGTAACATTTTTAGCTTTTTTTACTTACATTTCAACGAAATGAATTTGTTACACTTGGAGAAAGTATTTAATTATGCAGATGGAATGTTGTGAAGATTAAAAAATAAACTATGAAAAAGAAGATGGATAGTTAAGTAGATTTTTAATTAGTGAAGAAAGCGCACGTCTTTTGACCATATTTCATACTTGTGTAAGTATAGAAGACAGAATCCACATCGTATTTGCTAATTTCATTTATTAATTGTTCATATTTCATTTAGTTGTAAGTGAGGAAAACAGAATCCAAATAATTTTTTTTAAATTTAATTTTTGACCAACGTTGAACAGGCAACCAAGTTCTAAGCTTTCAACTATCAAGTTTCAACTCCATAGCCTTGCAATTTTTACCCCTTCCCAGACGACACGGAAACTCCCGCATATTTTCGACAAAATTATTAAGTGTAGTAAAAATAACTTAATTGGGACAAACTAGCTCACGTGGAAGTCTTTTTGATGGAACTAACCCGCATTTTCATTACACGGAGAAAATCTTCCCCTGTTAGTCCGACCTCAAGAGGGTTCTGAATAATGATTCGTCTACCACTGATGATATTCTGCGTCAGTATTGCAGTCTATGCGAGCCGGGTGTGGAATTCGTATAGACCTGGTTCACCTAGGTAGATCAGTGCAGGATTTGTCCGAAAAAATGTAAAAAATCTTTTTTGATATGAAATTGGTTAATGGAGTGTGGCTAAATGGCCTAGGTACATTAGGGGTTTTCTGCTAACAAGAAATTAAAATGGTATTTATAAGTACATGATGCAAAATACTTTGCTAAAATGAATAAGGAATCCATAAATTGACTAGATAGCTTTTTATTTAAGGTTGTTATTTTCTTCACAAATAAGTTTGAAGAATTTAAAACGTATTATTGATGAGAAACTAACACCAAGTATATATCAATTTAAAACAATTATAAAAACTGGTTTGAAAACCATTTATTACAACGTTTTGTCCTCTAACCAGTTTAAAAGCAGCCGTTTAGTAGCGTTAAAAATTGATGTAAATGTTATGAATATTTAAAGAGAGACAATCTATTTCTGGAATTTGATTTCCTCTTAAAGAGTTTTCTAAGAAACGGATTTAATGGATAATTCTATTGAGAAAAATATTGCAGGATTAAGTGCAAATTTAACTATTATATGGATGAAAATATGCCATGTCTGTTTTGGCACAACAAATGTTTTAGCTTTAAAACTAATTCAATTAAACTATAATTTTAAATTACTAAATTTAATATGCATTTTAATTATATAAGTAAATGTATATTTTTGACAAAATTATTAAGTGTGGGAAAAATAACCTGATTTGAAAGGAAAAAAAAATATTTGATAATCGAAATACTTAAACGACAAGTTTTAAGTTATTATTTTCAAAATGGCGCCTTCAATAACGAAATTTCTAAATATTGCTCTTAAAACTTGAAATATTTCACGTAATATCCATATTTTGTGTTATGGGCAATGTACGATACTTTTAATGAGACAATCTCAACACATTTTAAGGAGGAACTTTTCAGGAACTTCCGTAATCACCAGCAGAAGATTTATGGAACTCCTAAATTTCCCGTTCCAGATGGTGACGTAAAACCATCATTAAATAGCGTTTAAACGATGTTAACGAATTTCATTGAGTAAAAATGTCACTCCTTCCATTGCCTCAGCCATTAAACGGTGATCGATAGAATTTAGTTTTCTTTCAGCACCCTCTGGCGAGAAACTTACGTGAAAAAGTTCTTTTTCAGAACAATGTAGGGTAATTTAATTTAGCAACTGCTGCCTCCTTGCATTGTTAAGAAGAGATTAAAGCTCCGCATTCTTCCTCGTTAGAATTCGGGTTAAATTTAGGATAGGCAAAAAAAAGTTTAAAATCTGTGTCTTGCTCATTAGTGATTTATTTCTTTCATAAAAATAAAATTTAAAGTATTTAACTAACATTAATTTAAAAAGAAATAATGGAACGTCATTGTTATTTATTTATTACTTTTTTCTTAGAAAAAGGTCTTCGTTGACTGTTAATAATAATCTGTTCATTAATGATTCAAGAAAACAAAATTTTTTTAAACTAGTGTTAAAAACATTTAGAAATTTTTTTTTATTCAAATTATTTTTATGTTTCTAATAATAAATTTCAATGATCGTTTGTAACATTATGTTCATTAGTGATTCATTTTATTCGTAGAAGGAAATTGATAGTTTTCTATTGCATTAGATTTCATTTTTTAAAACATTCCCTTAAAAATGTATTTTATTTATATTATTATTATTATTGTATGAGGTGGTGCAATAGTTTGTGCCTCCTTCCTCATTAGTGATTTCTTTCTTTCATTAAGATAAATTTTAAAGTATTTAACTAACATTAATTTTATGAAATGTTATTGTTATTTTTTTTAGAAAAAGGTCTTCGTTGACTGTCAATAATAATCTGCTCATTAATGATTCATGAAAACAGCATAATTTTTTTAAAAACTTGCATTAAAAAAAGTTCAGAAAAAATTGTTTAACCAAATTATATTTATGTTTCTAATAATAAATTTCAAGGATTGCTTATAACACTCTGTTCATTAGTGATTCATTTTATTCATAAAAGGAAATAGATGTTTTTCGATTGTATTAGGTTTCATTTTTTAAAATAAACATTCATTTTTTTCAATTCATTTCATTTTTCTTTTTCGTAAGAATGTATTTTATTTCTATTATTATTATTGTATTAGGTGGTGTAATAGTTTGTACTCGATGAAACTGAATTAGCTCCAACTCGTTTTCATAAAAAGCATTTATTCATTAAAAATGTATTTTAAAGTACTTTCAATTACAGTTTCTGTATGTTTTATAATTTTTTTAATTTGTTTTTCATAGAACTTATAGAATTTTCTTCCACAACAGCCTCAAAAACAGTTTTTTTGCAAAAAAAATTTTTTTTTTTTGCTTTTTAGATTATTTTGCTAAAAACACAATACAATGATAGAAACACAATACAATGATGAAAGCACAATACACACAATACAATTCCAAAAACTAATGTCATATGAGTTAATTAATTGATCTAAACGGTACTGTAAATGAAAAAAATTTAAAATAGGCTCTTTCAACATCGAGGTTCCAGAGAAATGTCAAGACATTGAAGTAGCCACGGTGCATATTTTTTTAGAATGTGCTTTAGGTCCATGGTGTAATTATTTTGAACTTTTCAATTGCTCCGAAATCGTGAGTGTTTTTAAGAGAGTTTGTAATTACAGGACTAATAAAGAGTCTCTAAGAGCCTCATAAGAACTGTAGGATGTCAAAAGAACCATTGAATTCTAGAAAGCGGTTCGCGAAGAATACGGATTGTTAAGACGCGTTGCCATGGTGAAGTTTTCCCATCGTACACATCTGTCTTTTACTGTCTGTTTCATTGAAAAAACACTCAAAATTGGCTCTGAGCAATCAGAAGTAAATCATAAGCTTTACATTTTAGTCGGTGGTGGTTTTTAATTGCCTCCCAGCGTTAACTTCAAAACTGACTTAGATTGGTTTTCAAAATTTTTTTTAAGGAAATGGTAGACCTTTCATTAATCATCATCACTAAAATCCATCATAATTAGGGAACATTTTTTCATTGCGGACCATCCGAGATCCACAGAAAACTAGATGACAATCCATCGAAAGTTCTGAAGTGACGGAACATGGCAATGAATTTCACTGAAATAACTGTCAAAACTCTACCAGAGGCAACTATGCAATCGCGCATGCGTAAACTTATTGCCGCTTCACCGATCCCATCAGTCCCGGTACGTTGCGAAAGTAATTCATTGCGCAGTGACATTATTTTTCAGGCAAATCTTGCATTGAGCCAACGGTGTCAACCGGGTGTAGAATTCTGGCGATGGCTGACCGATACGAATTCCCCACCTTGTTCACACCAACAACATTACTGATGCAAAATATCTTAAATGGCCTAACGGATCATGGGTCAGAGTCCACTTGCCATCAGGGTAACAATAGAAGGTTTTCATGGTTTTCCAATTTAGGT